AGCAGGGGGAGGGCTGCGGGGAGGGCCTGCAGCTCCGTGTCCCTCCCAGCTGCTTGCTGGCTGCCAGGCCCCGGCCGTTAGGGAAAGCCTCCCCTGTTTCTCACCAGCCCCCGCCCCCCAGTGCCACCACCTGCCCCTGCCCCTCCCTGGCTCCGGGGCTCCTGCAGCCTGCGACTGACCGGGCCCTGACGGGGTCTGACAGCCGGACACTCCCTCCGGTACCGGGCTTCCCTTTACAGCTGGGCCTGGGGTGACCCATGACAGCTCTCCAGGAGCAGAGTGGGAGTTCCCCGTGGCTCTTGCAAGCTCCATGTTCCTAACCCGTGGTTTTCTGGTTGCAGTTTCAAAAAATACCATGCGAACCAAGAAAAGCGTCCATTGACAGACGGCCCGCAGGAAGCGCCCTGGTGGCCAGAGCACCTCCGTCCGGAGGCTCGCTGGGCGGCGTTCTGGGGCACTGGGGCTGCGACGGTCCCAAGGGCGAGTGAGGGGCGTGGGGTGGCTGCAGGGACAGCAGCCTCTGGGTTCTGGGACCTGATTTTGTCTCCTCAGAGGCCGGGCTTTGACATCCAGCTGGGGGCCCTGGCCCAGGAGTCCCCCCCTTGAACTTCCCAGGGACTGAGGGTCTCTGTCTAAGGGGCTCCATGATGGCCCGCCACAGAACTGCTGCCCTGAATTTTTCTCTAATGTAGTAAAATTGTTATTTAGCAGGAAAAGTTTTAGTTCTTCAATTTTTATACCACTTATTTAAAACGTAGCCTTCTTTGTAGTATAGGTTTATCGTTTTGTCCCAGTTAAATGATATATACTCTGGACCTTATGTTTTTATTTTACTGTAGTTAATTTTTATGCCATTTTATTTGACTAGGTGACTAGAGGGGAGGGAATTGTTCCATTTTGGTTTCTTTCATTTTCCTTCTCCCTACAAAACATGCAACTTACAGTTTTCAAAAATGTACTCCTAAGAAACTGTTATAATTATCTAAGCAGGGGTGTCTAGCCTTTTGGCGTCTCTGCGCCACACCGGAAGTTGTCTTGGGCCGCACATTAAATACATTGTGACACTTAATCACACACACACACAAATGCCATAATGTTTTAAGTAAATTTACAGTCTTGCGCTGGGCCGCATCCGCAGCCGTCCTGGGCCACACGTGGCTGAAGGTCAGATGCCCCTGGAGACCCTAAAGCATCCCGGCATCACCCTTCCTGAACCTGAAAATGTCTCTCTCAAATGCAGTTGGCCGTAGAAAAGTAAACTCGCATACAAAGGAATTCTAGTTAGGCTTAATTTCTTAGTCTTTTGTAATTTTATGTACTTTCTTAACCATTACATCATGCACTTGAAAATGTCTAAGATTCTGTTAAGAAAGAATGAGGAGAAAATGCCATTTTTAAGTTAAAAGATCACAGGGCCATGGCCTGTGTGGCTCAGCTGGTTGGAGTGTTGGCGTGGAAACCAGAAGGCCGTGGGTTCAGTTCCCGGTCAGGGCGTTACATAGGTTGTGGATTCACGTACAAGAGGCAGCCAGTCGGTATTTTTTCTCTCGAATTGATGTTTCTCTCCCTCTCTTCCTTCTCCTCTCTCTAAAACCAATAAGCATTGTCCTCAGGTGAAGATTAAAAAGAAGGAAAAAAAGATCATGGGAGAAATAAAATAAGCAAGAGTTTTTTCAGCTTCATGTTTTGCTTAGTGGCTGCAACCCTAAAGAGTCACAGTTGGAAGAAGTTGTTTTTCAGTAGGTCCCATTGTCACGGTCTGATATCTGGGGTGCACATCAGTCCTCCGCTACCTGTTAGTAGTATGCTTGTATTTCATATAGGAAGGTTAGTGAAGCATGAACAACATATTTAAAGTCAGTTTGTCTGTTACTCGTCGTCATGGGTCACTGGTGAAGAATTGAACTTGGCAGTGTATTGTTTTGCTGTCATTGAAACTCTGCCCATCTTGTCTTCACATCAGCTCTACTTAAATCAGTCCACTCACCTCTGCTTGCATTTCCTGATTTGCATAGGAGCATTCAGTTAATACAATCCACTGTAGAATTCACTAATGTAATAATTTCCTTTATACTTGGGCCTCATCTTTTGGGTACATTGCTTAAGGGTACATGATTATTCATTTTCGTTTTACATTTTATTTTTATAGATACCTATTATTTTTGTATAATTTAAGAAATGAATGACAAAATTGAAGAACTTTAACACACCAAATTAAATTATTAAGGGTTTACTGTATTTTTGACATTATGCTGAGGGCCTAGGAGAATACAAAAAAGTTAAAATAAAAATTGCAACATTATGAAGTAGCACTATTATAAGGCAGTTTATTAAAATACAACTCAAATGTAAGCAATATCTAAATAAAAGTAGAATTAATATGTTTTTGCAGAATTCTAAAGCATGTAACATTGAAAAATAATCAGCACTTTGTTGTGAATGCATATTTATTTAGAAAATGAGACATAATCTGACTTTTTTCTGCTGGTTCCTACAATCACCTTGGCCTTGGACATGTCTCCAGTTCTGTTACATATGAAAAAATTTGATAATTGCAGGCAGGGGTTTTCATAACAATTTTTTATCCACAGGTTATTATATCTTTAGTTAAGTAAATTTCTTAAAAAATCTATAAATCTCTGTAAATGAGATTTTCTTAATACAGGTAAAGACCAATACATGATTGTGTTTTTTTTTAAAACAGTAATAATAAACTGTTATGTTTTATGATGTATTGTTTTAGTCCAGGCTTTGAATCTATAGACTTTCACCTAAAACATTTTTATTTTTTGCCATGATTTGCTTTCCTGTAGTTGGTTACAAACCTCCCCCAGGACTGTGTAGGGCAACTCACCCACGTAGGGCACCCTTGCGTTATTTCTGTGGGCAAAATACCTGAGACTGAAGGACTGGTTTTTGTTGAATAATGAAAATAAACTTTCAAATAAAACTAAGAAGTTGCTACTTAATCTTTTCCCTAAATTAAGTAAACTATGCTAATTTTTCTTACAAAATAATTTTGACAGAACCTAGGTTTTTTTCTGGTAATTAAGTATTATTTCTATTTTTAAAGTAAAAACTGACTTGAAATGGAGTAATTCAGTTATTTTTTATAGGACACACAAGGTCAAGGAGTACCCCTTATTAAAATGTTTTTTTTAAATGTTAAACAGAAATTTTTCATATATGCCTTGCAATTGGGGAAAAGGAGTTTTTTTATTGTGTGTTCTTCTCAGATGAGAGTTGTGAAATAACGCTATAGGCTGTGTGTGTGTGTGTGTGTGTGTGTGAGAGAGAGAGAGAGAGAGAAAGAGAGAGAGACTGGGGCTATTTGCTAGGTGATACAGGTGGGTGTAAGGCCAAGATTTATAGCTGCGCCGTTTCCCTTGAGAATATGAATTATCAGAGGGTGGCGAGCAACATAGCGTCCCCTCCCTTTAACGTCCACTGTGAGGGGCCTGGAAATATTGGCGACCTGCCTGCTTTCTTCACTGTAAGAAGGTGAGGATGAGACTTGTTAGAAAAATTTGTTGTTTTGTGATAGACAAATCTGACTGTTTCATTTCATAATGATTTTTTGTACTTAAAAGCTTTGCTTTCTTGCTGGGTAAAATGTTACATTGTCTTTTATTACAAAGATAAAATTGTTGCAAGATGATATGTATGGGCATCACTTAATATTCTATAAATTCTGTAAGAAAATATTTGTGAAAAATCTTATAAATATCCACTCTCTGAGAAATGTCTATTTTCATGCATACACTTAAGGTAATTAACACACTATTTACATAACGCACATGTACTTAGTTGCTTTGATTAGTTTCCATTTGATATTTAACTTAGTCACTCAGAACAGTATTTTTGCAATCCTGAAGCCTCATACATAAACCTGTAAAATATGAAAAGTTTTAAACTAGGGGTAAATATTCCTGGATTAATTAACAGTATACTACAATCCAAGAGTATAACTATGATGTGAACCTGTATAACCCAACTAGCATTTTTCTAAAGTAGATTTATTGTCATTAATTAATCTTAAATAAGAATACCCATGCCCCCCTCGGAAGCCAGCCCCTCCGCCGGGCTGTCCCCTTCCCCAGGTTTGCGCTCGCCCCCCGCAGGCAGGCACGTGTCCTCGGGGGAGGCCCCTCCTGGGAAGGGTTGCAGGAAGCGGTCCTGCGCAGTGGGGCGACGGATGAAGAGCGGAGCCAGATAGAGGGGCTCTGTCTGTGTTCCCCACACTCAGAAATGAGGCGCCACTCCTCCGCCGCTCTGGGCGGCCTGTCCTGTGCTGGCTTGTCTTGTGACGGCTCAGGCTCCCGACCAGAAAATGCTTCAATCAGAGCAGGTGTTGTCAGGCTCGCGGTCCAGCTCGGCCCCTGAGGCCGGTGCCCCGCGCGCGCGGACTCTCGCAGCCGCACCCGGCCCCCCGCCCGCCGCAGGGACTCGGGGCGAGGGTCGGAGAGCAGACCCGGCGGCCTGCGGCGGCCCCCCAGCCCCAGCCCCAGCCCCAGCGTCTTTGCTGACCCGAGCTCTTCCCCACGATGGATGGTAGCCTCACTCCGGCTGCACAGCAAGTCGTCCCCGCGCTCGTTGAGCTTTGGAGGGACTTGCCAGGGAACTCGCGAGGTCAGCGTCAGTTACCGCAGCGGGCACAGGGACCCGTGCGGTGGCTGAGGGGCGGAAGGATAGAGCTAGGGGAACTTGTTCTCCGGACGCAGCTGGAGCAATGAGTAGAGCCACAGCCCCCGCGGGCCAGGGACCCGGGCCTCCCCGCCGCCCCACCTTCCCGCCGCAGAGCAGGCCTGGTGTCGCCTCTGCGTTGTGGCCTTGACTGAGGGGAAGGAGGCGGGCGAGTGCCTGCCTCGGGTGGAGTGTTACTATTCAGTGGGTTAGGATTTGAAGTCTATGATTTTCAAAGGTTCTGATTTAAAAGTAAAGTTGATTTGACTTTTTATTTTGAATTATATTTACTAGTCTTTATGTCTTAATTTCAACAGCATCACTGCAAAACTTGAAAGAGCTTTAGAAAAAGTTGCTCCTCTTCTTCGTGAAATTTTTGTAGACTTTGCCCCATTCCTTTCGCGCACACTTCTTGGCAGTCACGGACAAGAGCTATTGATAGAAGGTATGATTTCTCTCTCAATTCTCATTACTTTAGTTTCCTATATTGTTTCTGTTAATCATGGCATAATTTGTGCTTCGGGAGGGATATGTGTTGCCAAAAGAATATAATGACATGGCTTCTACACATTCTAATAAGATATTAGTAAGTGCTTTCTCCTTGTTCATTTTTTAAATGTAACATGTTCGCACAGTCAGTGTTACTGCCCAGCTACTAACAGAAAGAAGAACTTTGAGAACGGGCTGGGCAGGGAGGCCCTGGCTCTTAGGGTGGTAACCACCCGCTGCTGCTGCGCAGCTGCGCTGGGGCGCTGTGCTCCCTAAGCCCAGACCTCCGGGTCTCGGCCTAAGAGCTAGGCTTCTGTACCTGGACATTGATTCACATAGTATTTGTGAATCAATGTCCATTGACATACTAAAATAAATACAATAAATGTATTCATGTAGCAGTGCTACTACTGGGTCTTGTGCCGTTATTAAAAGTGAGACAAATCAGCACCAAGTTTCCTATGAGCCAAAGCAAAGGTGGACTTATTCTAAGTTATATGACTCACATTACTGGTCCATAAGTGACAGTTTATGGCACCTGTAAAACGTAAGGAATTGCTATCAGGTAACTTTTTAACTGCCCTATGTTGGTTGGTCAGTACCCCACATACAGAGCCCCCTTTCCAGAATCTTCCATGGCCAGACATCTGTTCTGGCCTGTTTCTTATTTCTTTCCAGCACCTCAGACGGAAGGAGAAATGGCTAGGTGATCGAAAATAATTTTTCTTGGCCTTCTCTAAGTTTACCTCAAATATTCTGAATTGAGTTGAAAAAGCATTAGAAAAATATGCCACTTAAATTTTTAAAAAGTGACTGCAAAAAATGAAACACTGAAACAAGTTATGTATTGACAGTTCACTTTGTGTTCACCAGGCAGAATACAATTTTATTTTGTAACTTTCTGCATCTAAAGATATACCCTAATTTTAAAATATCCTATGTTTAAGATTATTTGGATGTAATATACATATTCTCTGTATTAAAATAATTGTCTTAATAAAATGATAGTAAATGGTAGATCTTAGGTTTGAGTTTTGTTTTTTAAATACCATTATTGGCAAAATATAAAATTGATAACCTTAAGATATGGCCCCTCAAATGTCTGCCAGTTCATCCAACCCAAAACCCTAGAAACAGCTGCTGTGCAGGAGGACGCACTTGGGGTCCCTCGCAGTGCGGGCAGGCCCTCCTTCGCCAGACCGCGCTCTGCCCAAGCCCTGGCCCCTGCAGACACAGGGCACTGCCCGACTGCACTGCCGCTCGCCCTCATTCGTGCCGCTCTTCCTTCTGCATCGGGGCCGCCTCCATTTTTCTGTTTCCAAAATTACTCTCATTCTTTGAGTCCTGCTTCAGGTTCCTTATGCCGAATTAATGCCTCTTCTTCTGCAGTCCTGTGCCATTTTATTTATACAACACTAATAAAATTATTTTTTTGCTTGTAAAGAGAAAGAATCTTATGATGTCTGTTAACATTGCCTAACTTAGATTCTGGTACATAATAATTCAGCTTTTTCCCCCTTGTACTTGAATGGAACACTGTGGGGTTTTTTCACTAATAATTTTTGGAAAAGGTAAGTTGTGAAAACAAGGAAGAGAGGTGAAGCCATGCGGTGCGGTGAAAATCCCCAGCATGGACCGTGGGCGCCCAGGGTTCCAGCGCCTCACGCAGCCCGAGGAAACGCACGGCGTCTCCGGTTCCCACTCGCAAATGGGCACTCACGCTCATTCTTTAGTTTCCCTCTGCTCTGTTTCCCTTGTTTCTGTGATGTGACACGGGAGATTCGCAGGATAAAAATGTATACTGGTGAATGAGTCTGACTGCTTTCGACATTATCATGTGTATGTATCTGGCAGGAATGCAGCTGAATTTAGGCAACTAAAGGTATTTAATGTCTTACAAAAAGAAAAAGCAAGTAGTCTTATTTTACAGTATCATAAAATATATCTGAGTTGAATTTTTGTGTTAATACTACATTGTTTTTCCTAACTCACATTTCTATTCATTTAATTGTTTTCTTATAGACTAATTAATCTTTTGGTAATATTTTATATTATTATATGCTTTAAAATACAAACTAAAATGTTCTTTAATTTTTTAAATTTGTCACTTTTATTAGTCAACCTGTTTTAAATTTATTCTCTTATTCTAATCAATGTAGTTTACATCTTTCAAGGTTACTTCTTATTAACAGTACCTATTTTTACATAGCTTTAGTGTGTGTATGCCTCTCTGGGCAATAATTAAGGATTTTGAAGACAGTACTTACTTGGAGCTTACTGAATTTTCTTTAAGAAAATTCTAGCTTTTTGTTGGCAAACCACTGCATTTAAATTAGAGTAACTACGAAGCCCAGCAGCCCAAGGAGATGAAACAAACGGGTCAGAAGTTGTTCTCTGTGCCCGGCGCAGCCTGGAGGCGGCCCTTCCTGAACCCTGGTATATAAGGCTGGTCGCTGACCCTCAGGTGGCAGGTTACCTCTTGGTGATTTTTATTTAGGGGCCTGAGAAGCCCAGTGGGCCTGGCGTTGGAATGAGTGATAAGGAGACAGTGCCACCGCAGCTAACAGGAGGAGAAGGCGCTTGGGGGGGGGCATTAGTACAGGGAAGGGCAGCCTGCACACTGCCCGGTGTCAGCCTGGCCCACCGATTATATTCTGTGAGCATTTCTGTTGGCCTGAGAGCTCCTGAGAATATTGAAGGCAGCTTAAGTATCCTCAAGGTGCATTACAAGTGCCCTAAGCGCCCAAGGACAGGAAATGGAGTATAGTTAGGAGGCCCGAAGTGGGAGAGGGGAGGTGGTGGCCCAGGCTACTCCCTTTAACTCTTCAGGCAAGTTCTTGGCCTCCTGTTGCTACTTCTCTCTGTGTGTCACCTCAATTTTTTTGCGTCTCTCCCAGACCGGCCTCATGTCCTCAGTCATCAGAACTTTCATCATCGGACTGTAAGTCACTACCTATCCAGAGAGGACCTGCACAGCTCAGTCGCGGGCTTAGGTGTGCGCCTCTGCTCTAGCTGCTTAGGATGGCTGGGGGTGGGAGGGCAGGCTGGGGGTAGCGCACAGGCCGCCCTTGGAGACACTGTGTATAAGCTGACACATCTCAGAAAAGAATGGCAGCAGTAAAGGGGTGATGCTGCCGAGCCTCCTGTGCAGTAGGCAGCGCTAGCGAATGTTTTGTTAAATATTAAATTCGTGTGGTATTTGAGGCCAGCATATGTTTGAAGGATGTAAAATATAGCCTGCGATTTCCACCTCCACCGAAAGAGAACATCACAAAGGTGTTGTTATAGCAAGAATGAGCCTTGAAGCATATAGACTAACAGCATGGCTACATCATTAGAAAAATGTGTATTTTCATTTCAATTTAAAAATTATATATTAAATGTAATTTCAGAAGTTATTTTAAAATTGCAATAATACAGAAAACTACATGACCAGTTCAGAGTAGATAGATAGCAGTGGGAGCATAGTTTTTAAATATCCCTGAATTCCTCTGTGAAAAACAGTCATAACAATAGAAAATAAAATAATAACTGCTAGCCCCCTTAATAACTGCTAGTCCATTAGCAACAACAAATGGGCCCTTACCATGAACTCGGTGACAAGGTATCTGGTTATGACTGGGGGGGATAGTTCATCTAGAGGTTCTAGAGGTCTAAGACAGACGTGCTGTCTGCAGCTGCGTGGGAGAGACGGCGGGCAGACATGCCCTGGGGAGCCCTGGCGGCCAACATGGAGAAGAGCTGCGAAGCAGGGGAGTTCTGGCACCCACACGGGTAGGTGAGCCCCAGGGCGTCCCAGTGACACTTCCTTAGCCAGGGCCATCTAGGCCCCAGGAAACACCCACCCACCCACCTTGGTCCTCGTCCAGGACACAGCCCCACCCACCCTGAGGTTAAATGACTGCGAGCAGAGTTTAGATAAAGTCCAAGGAAAATGGGGGAGGCAGACGGAGCAAGCATACCTTCCAAAGTCAGCTGTCATATTTTTGAAAACTCCATGAAGACAATCAAAGGGGATCTCCAGAACCTGAAGGGGGGAAAAAAAACCCTACCTAAAAATTCAGGTATACTAAATGAACATGAAACAATAACCAGCAAAAAGGATTTCAATCCCATATCTTACAATAAGAAAAATGAGAAAGAGTCGATAAAAAGCCCCTCATGCCATGAGAGTGTACCCAAATAAAAGATGAACAGTTTTTAAATAAGATAAAAGACAGAAAATGATACAGGATATGAAACAACAATTTAAATTAGAATTTAGAGAATCAAGTTAGGTGATAAAACTTCGGAATAATTCAAAATGGAGAAGTTTAGAAATGAAGGCTAAATTAGAAGAATAAAGAAGTGAATAAACTAAGGAATAACAGGAATATAAGGAAAGAAATTTTAAATATCAGAAAAAAATGGCTAAAGACTCTAGAAAAGATGAGAGACAAATTTAAAATATCCAATATATATAAAGGTTTCCAAAAGAGAAAATCAAAGCAAATCATAGAAAAATAATAGGATCAGTTATTCAAAGACACTCCTAGAATTTAAAAAAAAACAAAAAGGACATTTTTCTTCTAGAAGAAATACAGGCAATAATATTGTGGACATTTTTCTTAGTAATAGTTTTCTAATATATCTCCTTGGTCAGGACTATATCAAACTAAAAAGTTTTGCACAGCAAAAGAAACCAAAAAAATGAAAAGACAACCCATATGTAATATGAATAAAAGAATATATAATGGGAGAACATACTCTCCAATGATACATCTGGTAAGTTGTTAATATTCAAAATATATAAAGGACACAAACTCAACACCCCCCCCAAAAAAATCCAATTAAAAAGGGGTAAAGGACCTGAAAAGATACTTCTCCAAAGAGAGCATACAGATGCCCAACAGACATATGAAAATATGCTCAATGTCACTAATCATCAGGGGAATGCATATTAAAACCACAATGAGC